GAAAAAAATTATTAATGAAACAACTCAAACTGCCTCAAAAACCAAAAAAGCTAGCAGGAGGCAAAAGAACAATCATTTAATTGCTAAGTATATTTCTATCACATATTTCATATTGTCACATGCTTGGACTAATATATGAAAAATTAGACAGCAGTTATTTTAAGTACAGTAAATATGTTCCAAGATGTGTGATGAGAGAGGTCAGTCTCTAAAAGTTAACAAGACTTAATAGCTTAACAATTCTTTTCCCTCTGAAAACTAAAACAAATCACCAAGGCTATTTCTGAACAACAAAAGAACCGATCAACTTTATTAAATTCTTGCCAACCAAGCAAACTTTTTTATTTTTAAAGTTCAAATGACTTCATATTTTAGGCTGTGTGAACAATCACAAGTTTAATTCTGTATAATTTTAATATTCTTTTATATTTAGGGTAAAATTTTCTTCCTAAGATCCAATTATTTTTCTATTATCTTATAGTCTATTTTAGCCTAAATACTCTCAAAACTTTTATGAAAACTATTCAGGCTTACTAGAAACTCTGTACAAGAATTCCCCCCTACTTTAAAGACAAACTTAGATGAACTTAATTTTAATTTGCTTTATCCTGACAAATATTTTTACTTGAAGTTTGCTAACTACCCATTTCCTGTGTTGTGTGGGGTACTTTATTGTTACTATTTTCAAACTAACACTGATGATCTTCTATCACACTGCTGGGCAGAAGCCAAGCTTTGGTGGAAATCACCTGACAATTCCTCAAAATTATTTGAAATGGATATTCAAACATATTCCCTCTGACTCTTTTAAAAAAGTCTTTCAAGAAAGTCAGCAATAACCATATTTTGGAGGTGCCAGAATGGTATACTGAAAGGAAGTGAGGAATGTCAGATTGAAAGCCATGAATCAATTTCAACTCCAACAGAAACTGACTTTAAATGGCCACTGATTGTCTCTACCCAAACTGCCCTTCAATAAGCAGTTCCATGTCCCTGTATTAAAAAGCATTCTCCATTAACTGTTCAATGTAACCTGAAATTCAACATGACGTTACACACACACACACACACACACACACACACACACACACGACAAAAACAGCCGATTACAGATAAAGGAATAAAAATCAATTATACCGAATCCTATTATCTCCCTTTCCTCCAAAAGAAAAGCGAAAGATGACAAAATTCTCTGAGAATTGCTAGGCATTTCCCTAACAGTAACCTATTAATCTTTACAAATCTCATGAAGCAGACATCAAGCACCTCTAGTTTTACAGATGAAAGAATCCTAAGACTATGTGATTTCTTCCAAGGTCACACACAAATTAAACTCCAGAACTTTGTGCTCATTATTTCTAATCTAACAAATCATTAGATCAATTTTTTTAAAAGCTACGATTATCTCAGTCTGTACGCCGGCCTTTATACATATGCTGTCCATAATTATAAAAACAAACTGGATTTTGAAAACTTAGTATGAAAATGATATGAAATAGCTCACTGATTTTTCTGAAAACACAGATTACATGTCACAATAGTATTATGGTATATACACCCAGGCAAGGTGGCACATACCTGTAACGCCAGCACTCTGTGAGGCTGAGGCAGAAAAGGATCCCAAGTTTGAGTCCAACATGATCAAATGAGTGACTCAGAGAGAACTGGTCTCAAGTTTACAAAAAAAGGGCTGAGGATTCAGCTCAAGACAAAGGCCCCGAATTTCATCTCCCATAACGGGGCAAAAATATCATTACACAGCACTGGTCTATACTTTTTTCCAAAGACCTCCCAGTGAAACAGATGTCATAATACCTAAATCAAGAAAGCAGTGTTTCCCTAAAATTTGTTGTATTCTACATACATTATGAATCTAACACACGCAGTGACCATATAAGAAGGGGGAAAATTGGGCACAGTAATAACGTTTCGAGACTAGCACGGACGTAATTAGCACGTACTTAAAAACAGACCATTATAATGTGTTCTCTAAGGAAAATAAAAGAAGATTTCTGTCTCATTACAAGTAGTGTATGCGATTTTTACAGAAGCTGTTGTTTTCTTTCTCAGTGCTGGAAATCCAACTCAGGGCCTGTTGTATCCTAGGCAAGAGCTCTGTCACTGCCCTACACACGTGGTATCTACCCATGCCTCGTGTATGTGATTTTGAGTAAGTCATAGAGAGGAGAAAGTATGACTTTCCATTAGAGTCAAATGTCATTTCATCCGATGGAAAAGTGAAAACATTCCTAATTATACACAGGAATATCGGTTACTAAAGGGTGCCCAAAGCACTTGTCAGAATAGCTGCCTTCTATGTATTTTACTTGCACTTTTAAATCACAGAATTCTAACACAGACTCAGCACTCAATCTGATTCTGACTAAAGTGGCAAGAAATACAGAGTAAGGAAATAGATCAATTCTAAAAAGAAGGGTAACTTTAGAAAATAGTCTGAAAATCCAATAAAGGTTAAACAGAAAGTTTCCATATGACCCAGCAATTCCACTTCTAGGTTTGTAACCAGGACAAAAGAAAACATACATCCACACAACAATGTGCACATGAATGTTCACAGCAGTGTTATGTATAGTAGCTAAAAAATGTTAATAATGCAAATGTTCATGGACTGAGGAGTGGATAAATAACGTGATACAGTATATCCATATGTTAGAGTATCGTTTAGCCAGAAGGAATATTGATACATTATTGTTACAACACAGATGAACTCTGAAAACAGTCTCTCTCCAAAGAAGCCAGTCATAAAAGATCACAAATTGTATAATCCAATCCCATTTATGCGATATGTCCTGAAAGGCAAATCTAAAGAGACAGAAAGTCGTTGCTTGGGGCTGGGTAGCTGGGAAATGAAGACTGACTGACGGTAACGAGCAAGAGTTTCTTTCTGGGTGGTGAAAACGCTCTATAGTTGATTTTAGTTATGGCTGCACAACTTTGAGTAATTTTTTTTTTTTCTTTTTGAGACAGGGGCTCCCTATGCAGTTCAGGCTGGCCACGAATGCACTATGTAGCCCAGGATGGCCTCAAACTCACATCCATCCTCCTGCCTCAGCCTCCGGTGCCGGGATTACAGCCATGGGCCTCCATCCCTAGCCGCCAAAATTTATTTTAATGGGTGAAGTGTATGTAAATCGAAATGTCAGTGTACTCACTAGAAATGTAAAGCAGATAGATGAAAAAAAGATTATAGGGTTGAATAGGCACTTCATTACTATTTTTCTGGATTCTGTGGTATCTACTAGCTTTTAAATTTGTGGGTGTTTTTTTAAATTGAGACAGGGTCTCCCTTTGTAGTGCATTGTGCAGGATGGTCTTGAACTCAGGTTGATCCTCCTGCCTCTGCCTTCTGAGTGGTGGAATTGCAGCTGTGGTGGGATTACAGGCTTGTGGTAAATTTTGCAAATGGTGACTTTTAACTAAAAATATCTTTCATCACATGGTTGCAGAAGCAAATAAATTTCCTGAAAGTCATAAATTCGGTACTTAAAAGGCTTGTTATGGCATGTATGTTATTTCAATAAAGATACGAATTTTTTTCATTAGAAAAAGGACAAGAATAATATCACATATAAACCTTAAAAAAAAAAAATCACATTATAACTACACCGTTGGACATACAGTTTTTCAAGCAAATGGTCCCGTGCACAAACAGCCTATGGGAATCTGAAGATCACATTATAAAAACGTGGAAAAGGTCTACATAAAAACAAAAAAACCTACCACTTTCTCTTGAAAGCTGAATTCTTGACTCAGAATACATTTAAAAAAAAATAGATAACTAAATTCTTAAAGCTGAAAGGAACAAGTATTTTATTAAAAAAAAAAACACCATTGGGGTGGGTGTGTTTTTAACACATACACTTCATGTGCCCTGAAAACTTCGGGTGCAGCTGTGTGTAATACAACGAAGCTCCTCCCCTTTTTTAAATAATAAAACGCGACGGCGCCGTTCCACAGCCCACCCCACCCCCCAGCCCGGCAGGTGGAGGGACGGGGCACGGTGGACGAGAGGATGACAGCTTTGTACACCGCCCGCACGCTACACGTAAGAATGCGGCTGCGGTTCAGAGCGGGTAGAGCCTGCGGACGAGCCGAAATAAAGGCCCTCCTCCGCCTGGGGGGGACACAGCGTGAGCCAGGTCTCGAACCAGCTACCTCCGGAGCGAACCCCGGGCCGCCGGAAGGCACCGCGAGCATCGCCCGGCGGCCTCTCACGCAGGGGTTTTTCTGCAATGGAGAAGTTGACTCCCGTAGTTTGCGTGCTGGGGAGAGGCAGGGCAAAGCGGCGGCCGCGGAGGCCAGGAAAAACGCCTTTTCCTCTAAGCGGAGCCGCCTCGGGCCTTGCGGAGGAAGTTCGAGCCCAACCAGCGGCCGCACGCCCGTCCCGCGGCCCCCTCC